CCAGAGCCCCCGCTCTCCTGTCCTCTGCACAGGTTTGGCTCTTCTGTAAGAATGGTTGGGGTGGGAGGACAGTTTCATGATGTTACTCTAACATGGCCCAGTCTACTCCAGCTGGTGCTTCTCGGCTGTGCCTTGCAGCTGAGGGTCTGCAGTGTTGGGCTGGGCCTGCAAGTGGTTTTCCTTGCCAGCGGCCAAAGCTGCAGTCAGGTAGTGAGGTGGCTCGTGGCAGAAGGCACGAGTGACCGCCCTCAGTTGGGCCTGCTCTAAGTGAGGCGACAGAGACCCAGCCTCCCTGAGGCGTGAGAGAGAAGCGGAGAAAACGGAGCAGAGCACCACTCCCCTGGGCCAAGCACCCAGGGAGGGTGGTGGTGGTAATTTCCTGCCTGGGCTATGCAGATTTCCAGGGAGGCAGGCGACACAGCAGAGGGACACCTTAAAGGGGAATACACTGTGCCAGGTACAGGATAGCTGAGCCCTGCTGTTTGAGCTCTTGATGGGAAGTGGACCAGGCACAGTCCTGCCTACTTCTGACGTGGCTACTTGCACTGGCAGATCTGAGTTCTAAGCCTGGTGCCTCCTGGCCCCAAGCAAGCCAGCTGCATCTGGTCATTCCCAGGTTGATTGCCTTTCTAAGAGTTCCTAAGCCACCCCGTTTAGTCCCGAGCCTGGCGTCAGCCTGCGTGGGTGGTAGCCGGTCCAGGTCTTGCCTCTAGCACCAGCGTTACCAGGACACGAGGTCTATCTTCAGCCTGGGGTCAGATCAGGGCAGCAAACTCACAAAGTGCCCCTTGCTGCTCGTTGCTTCGCCCTACCCCTTCCCTCCTTTATAGCTTTGCTCAGCCACAACTCCTACACCAGACTATAGTGCAGGACACAAGGACCTTCTCCAGCAGTGGCCAGTTGATGACAATGGCTGATATTTCATGGCTATTTAACACAGTGTCAGTCACATACCATGTCGTCAGTACACTCTCTCACAGCATTCATCCCCCGAGCCCAAGGCCCTGGGCCCAAAGAGGATTCTCGCCCAGCCAGGAGACGTCAGGCAATGGGCTAGGGGTTCAGACAACTTGCAGGACAGGAGACTCTGAAATAAAACTGTTTATTGGAGATCTCGGAATACATTTTAAATGGTAGCTCAGTATTTCCAAACAGGGTGGGCTGGAGAAGGGGTGCTACCACCTGGGGACAGGTGTCTGGCCCAGCTGCTGCAGGACCTGGTCTGTGCTCCTACCAGGCTCAGCTGGGGTCAGGATGCTGCTTCCCTGGGCTCCTGTCAGAGGGCGGTTGCCTGCACAGGCCTTTCCATGCAAGACCTCAGAGCTGAGCGGGGGCCATCAGTAACTTGTCGGGGTGAATGTGGGCTGGTCTAGGAGGCCCAGGGACGGCCACGTTAGGAAGTGCTCTGGCCCTAGGGCAGTCGGACAGCATAGCTGGGGTGTTTCTTTGCGCAGCAGAGCGCCTGTGCTGGGCCTGGCTCAGCCCCGCCGACCTGGAGGTCAGCCCCACAGGTGGGAGCAGCATCACATGTCACATGCAGGTTCCTAACAAGCAGTCGAGAGAGCGCCACCTGTGCCATGGAAGGGCAGTTGCTGCCCAAGAACAGGGGCGGGCCAGAGGGAGGAGACAGGCCCAGTGCCCCAGTTAGGCCGTGAGGGGGGACAGATGGCAGGTGGCCAAGGCTAGGCCCTTGACTTCATCAAGTAACAACAGCTGAAAGGTTAGTCAGAGGCCCAGCTTTGGTTTCTCAACAGGAACCAATCCAACCAATGGGCCCAGGGCAGTGTGAGGAGCTTGGGGCTCGAGGGTGAGCGGCCAGGCCCTGCAGAACAGCAAGATCCACGGCTCAGCTAGCACACTGAGCCGCAGGGCCATCTCAGGGAGTCTCTAAGACGTCCGGGGCTGCCAGAAGCGGTGAAGAGAGAGGCGCCACAGGACAAGAGGCGTCCAAGGTACAGCTGGCTCGCTGTCAGTTCCAGAGTAGCAGCCCCTGGAGCTGCTCTTCCCCTGGGGGCAGCGAGAGGAAGTCCCGCTCCAGGGAGAGACCCTCCACCTTCCCCAAGGGAAAACTGCTAACTGGTTTCTCTAGAAAAGATCTGACTTATTGAAAAGTAATAAATATTTAGTTTCTACAACCAAGGAGCAGCAAGGTGGAGGCAAAGAACCTCTGTGGTGGCGCACAGGGTCAGAATTCTAGGTGCGGGTTCTGCTTTCACTGTGGCGGTCGGGAGCTGGGCCCAGGCAGGCGCCAGCACTGCTTGCAGCCTGCAAGGAGGCTGGGCGGCATCCCCTGCAACAGGGGCGGGCTGGCTGAGCAAGAGGACAGCAAGAGGGGTCAATGCCCAGGGACTACAGGGCCCCTTCCTCCTTCCCCGTCTCCTTCCTCTTTCTGCCTCCTCGCCAGGCTCTGGGTCACTAGTGGGAATGTCCAGTGGTTGGTGCTCTCGGCAGGGGAGAGGCAAGAGGCTGGCTGCCGATGGTGAATGCAGCCTTGGTTGTCGCTGGGGCCCTTTGCTACAGGATTTTTTCCACCTTCAGACCCTGCGAGGGTGATGCCTGGCCTTGACTGCAGCCAGGGAGTCTCTCTCTAGGAATGGCAGAAGCAGGACTCTGTCCCTGTGCACCAGCTGGGAGCGGGAGCAGCTGATGAGGCGGCCACTCTGCTCCCTGGGACCACAAAACAGAGGATGCTGAGGGTATTCCGGACACCAACGTTTACTGCAGGGTTTCTACGAAGGCATCAAACTCTCGGACGTTCCTCTCATGCACTGCCAACTTCTCTGGTAGTGAGTCCTGCAGAGGAGGGGCAAGAAAAGCCTCCGTCAGCTCAGGCCTCGAGGGAGGAGGCAGCCAGCCCAGTGGCCCTGAGCAAAGAGGGGAGGCCCGGCACTGCAGAGCAGCAGAGCAGGCCCAGGACATGGGCGCACATCCACCAGTGCTCTTTGAGGGACTCAGTGAGACCAAAGAGGGGCAAGCCCTGGGCAGGACGGAGAGCTGTGGGCTCCACACTTCGTTCAGCACCGGAAGCCCCCAGGTGCACAAGCCAGCCCAAGCCCGCTTGCAGGAGACTCTGATCCAGCAGGGCTATGGTAGGCAGGGCTGAGGGGCAGTGTGAACAGCGGTACAGGAGAACCACCGTGAGCAGTCAGGCATGGACACAGCAGAGGTGGCCAGTGCTAACTGCCTCATGGATCGACATTTAACCAACCACAGACCTGGACGGGTGGCGGGCCCCACCCCAAGTCTGAGTGGCACAGGAAGGTTTCTGGGTGGTGTGCAGGCACTAGAAACTCGGGAGGGCTTGGGGAGAGGGCGCTTCAGGTATCTCAGGTGAGAAACCAGGGAGTCGGGGTATAGCTGAAGGCCTCCCATCAGAAGCCAGGCTCTCTAGGAGCCCTGGACGAGCTGTCCATCTCTGAGGTGAGGAGGGTGCTGGCCTCCTCGTGTGGAAAGTAGGGAGAACCCCAGTCATCAAGGACAGCAAACGGGAGGCGCCAGCGCACAAAAAGTGGGTGATCCCCACCCCCACCCCCGGGGGGCTGCAAAAGCAGACCCCTACATTGTCTTCGGGGTTACGGGCCACAGCATACAAGCTTCTCATTGCCAGAGGGGCACAGAGGAAGTTTGTTTTCTGAAAAGCAGGTAGTAGGGAACCTCTGGGGTGAAGTAGATCCAGGACCCTTCAGGCAGAAGCACCCTTGGGCCTGCAGCGCATGGCACCCTGGGCTCTGCAGCCACCCTGCGATGCTCTCTAGAGGCAAGAGGCAGTAAGATAGCCTAAGCAAGGGTGTGACCATCCTTCACAGGGCCGCTTGCGACACGGGGCGCACTACCAAGGACCGGGATCTCCCCGTTCTCCCCTGCTATGGGCCCTGGATGGAGGCACAATGCTGCGGGGGCAGCCTGGCCTTGTGGCTTCAGCAAGCCACGGACAGCAGGTCCAGGAGGGCGGGTCCAAGTGATGCTGAGGTACGCAGGGAAAAGCCAGAGCTGAACATAAGCAAAGTCAAGATACTGACTGCCAGGTACGATGCAAATCTGCAGGGCAGCAAAACGAGGATCATTGTCCAGCTTCCTGTTTCTGGGAAGCTGGGGGGTGGAGGGTGCAGACAGAGAGTAACAAAGAAGAAATGTCTAGGCTTTCTGGATCAGGAATGGTCATCGATGAGGATGGATGGTAAGAGGATGGGACCAACGGGGGCAGGGTTTCCATACCAAATCCTCGGCCATGGACTGCGCCCCAATGTCTATGGAAAGGCTGCTCAGCTGAGGGGGGTTCTGAAATTCACGATAGAAGGTCCCCAGGTCCATCGGGAGAATGTCGTCTTTTGAAAAAGCTGGTTTCTTAAAAAATCAAACAAAAAACAAGACAAACCCAGTTATGCCTCTTCCTTGGACCACAGAGGATAGAAAATGCAGGGGAGAGGTGTGGCAAAGGGCCACCCATTCAGGGTACCTGGAAGAACCCCTGCAGAGAACTGCATTTCCTTCTGAATGAACCACAGAGACGTGACACAGAACGCTTACTGTCTATGGGGCACCAGAGCAGTGTCCTGGGCAGGTTCCACACGAGGCCCAGCTGTGTCACCTCTGCACCAGCCCACCTAGATCCCAGAGGTCATGCCAGGCCCCCAAAGGGCAGGCTCTTATGAAAAATCGGAGGAAGACCCCATCAGGCCACAGAATGGAGGCAACCAACCTGCTTCCTGCAAAATCCACTCTGTAGCTGCCGAGCCACAGAAGACCGGCCCGGCCAGGTGGCCACATCCCTGGAACTGTCACGCCTGATGCTACTCTTATCTCCCACCTGGGAGGCCTTCACCTCCTTCACCAGCCCTAAGTCGTCATGCACGAGACAGCGGGTAGGTTTTTATGACGCTATAAATGCAGAACGCCAGAGGGAACGCTGGCTGTGACAGCAAGGGACTGAGCCGGGGGCTTGGGCCAGCGGGGCTCAAGGACAGCAATGGCACTTACGAAGTCGATCATCACGAAGTCGTCGTGGGTGTTACCGCTGCTGCCCCCGCTGGAGCCCTCGGAGTGCAGGCTGCCTTGGAGAGGAGACCCCGTCTCGGGGGACGTGGGGGGATGCACCTGGGTCAGGTTTCAGGATAAGGCAGAGTTAGGGCTGATTCTGTGAACTGGGTCCAAAGTGACTGCGAACATACTGAAAGGGTGGCAGGGGACTAGACACCGGAGCCAGATCCCTAAGCCCAGGGCGAGTGGCAGTCCCTGGAGGAGGAGTGACTGGCTAGGCCGGAAAACTGAAGGCTCACCATTGGGTCCGCATCTTCCAGCTCCAAATGCTTGGGAGCAAACATGGCAAAGGGGATGTCTAAATTGGTCAGGGTCACCTGGAGAGAGACAGGAGAAAGACACTAGGGCCTGACCCTCCCCAGCCTCCGCGCAGCCCTCACTGGCTTTGTCATCCTCAAAGACCCTGGGAGCACCTGCAGGCCAGTGAGTCCATGCCTGCAGCCAGGCAACCCGAATCTTGAGCTCCTGTCCTGCTGGGGAAGCCTAGCTGCTCCTGCCCACCTCCCCCAACCCCAGGTCAGACAGAGGTAAGGGCTCCCCGGTATTCAGTCGCCCCTGTATTTCACGGGCCATTCTGAGGAGCTTCTTGGTTAGAGGGAGGCTCGGGAATGACAGGCATGACACACTGATTCTCTAGTCTCCCAGTCTGAGAGCAGGTAGAGGACAGCAGATCTTAACATTTCCTGACGAGGTGTTACAGGCTCTTACCCGCGCGCGCGCATGCGCGCGCGCACGCACTCCCACACAGACTTTGCATATAATACCACTGGCTCCACAGACCACAGTCAAGAGCCCAGAGGTGACAGTGGCAGCAGAATCACCTGGTTGATTGGTTTGTTGACAAACGCTCCCACTTTCCGGACAAAGATGGTCTCCATGACGTCATGGGGGGAGGGTCGCCCCTCGCTGCTGTTTGACACTGTTTCTGTGTCCTCACTGGAGAAGAAAGGTCAAGCTGGAACTCTCTCAAACCACAGCAGCCAGGGCAGGAGGCAGCCCCCACTGCCCGACCCCGCATCTAACATCAAAAGCACACCAACATGCACCAGGCCATCACATTCGTGTGCACGGACAACCAGTACCCAGCGGACCAGTATTTGAGCTGAGCAGCTGCTGCGTCTGTTGTCATCATCTAAAACAGGTCACTGCTGAGCTCACGGGCCCATGACTGGCTCTTACTCCCAGTGAAGTGTCACTTCACTTCTCCTCCCTGGAGAGACTGTCTGGGCTGAGGGTCCCCACACTGTGTACTATGTTCCCTTCCCTTCCTGGCCTGTTCTTCATCCAGAAACCTCGTTGAACATAGTCACTTTGGATGCTCCACTGGCACCCTATGCCCGCCGCTCCAACTGAAAGTGAGTCCTGGGTGATGGGGTGGACTCAAAGCAGCAGAAACGGGACCATTCTGATCCTGGCCTGAGCAGCAGCCACCCCTCGCAGGCAGCAGGGACAAAGGCCCAATGGTCAAAAGTGAGGGTTCAGGGCCCAGAGGACTGTTCAAGTGTCCTCTGGCTTAAGGACCAGTTCTAGCCCTTATGCCCCTGCTGGGTAGTGCTTACAGGTTGGGCTGCTAATCCCGAGGTTAGCCGTTCAAACAGATGGGGTTTCCTACTCCCGTAGACCGACAGTCTCAGAAACCCCCCATGACCCTTCTACCTTACTCTGAGGGGAAAGATGAGGCTGTCTGCTTCCGTGAAGATTTACAAAGCGGGGGTGGTGGTGGGGGTGGGGGTGGAAAGACTTACAAAGCCTTGGTCACCCTATATAATAAGGTCGCTATAAATTGGCATTGACTGGGTGGCGGTGGGTTTGGTTTGGATTGACACAGAGTCCTCTGCCTTGAACTATCCCTCAGACCAGTGGTTCTCAACCTTCCTCATGCCGCAACCCTTTCAAACAGTTCATGTTGTGGTGACCCCCAACCATGACATTATTTTCGTTGCTACTTCGTAATTAATTTTGGTACTGTTATGAATCAGACCACCCCTATGAAGTATACAATAATATATACTATATACACACACGGGGGCTGGGGTGGTGGTGGTGTTTGCGAACCACTGCCTCAGATAATGCCCCAAGAGTCAAGGCTCAGAAAACTCTCGGACGGACCTTCCTTCCTTGCAGGGAAGAATGCGAGGAGCTGGAGGAGCCAGGGCTGACAGAGGGGTGTTTTTTTTTGACAGATGGCACACAATGTCTTCCCCCAAACACCCCCCTCCCCCGTAGGAATGACAGAGATTCTCAGGGATGTGTTTGATCAGAACGTTGATTTCAGATGTGGCAGGGCCCTGCGATTTCATCTCTGGAGCCTTCCTGCTCAAGGGAGGGCATGGCAGGTCAGGAGAGCTGCAGTGGAAGGGACAGAAGACTCGGGCTCTGGAGTGGAGGTTCTAGGCTGGCACCTGTCTCCTGAGCTCCGGGAGCCTTCTGGGACAGATGACCTGGCCCACCCGAGAGCATCTCATCTTTTGAAAAGGGGACAAAGAACTTTCACTTTTCACTAGTCAAGGTCTTCGTTGTTTGACTGTCATGTCTCCAATTAGAAAAGGCAGATGTAAAAGGATGACTTTTGTGTGTGAAAACACACCTTTTCCAAGACCTCTCTCTGAGACTGACAAAGCAGGAAATCAACCGTCTTAAAGGGGACACGACCTCAGAGGGCTGGCATGCCCATGTCCTCAGGAAACAGGATGGGCCTGAGGCAAAAGAAAGCACCTACCTGAGGGGCTCCCCAAGGTGAGGGGGACAAGAAGCAAGCCTTTGCTTTTTCCTATTAGCTTGAGGCCACCGTCTGTACACACCAGCTGATGGCCATGCTCCCGTGACTGAGTGCCTTAACTCAGATTCCACATTCTGAGCACTAACATCTGACCAGAGCCGATGTGATGGACAGTCACTCTTTACTGACACCAGATAAGCACATGGGTGCTTTGCAGGGCCAGTCAAGATGCAAAGACTCACCTGCTGGAAGGTGTGGCCACACAGTGGGCCCCGTCAGAAGGCATGCAGGTGGCCAATCTCTCCTGGTCAGCCTGGGCACCGTGGGCGGGCTGGTTGGAAGGAGCAAAGGGCAGCCCACCACCTTCCTTCCCGGGAACCGTGGGCTTTGGTGAAAAGAGAAGAGGCACAGTGATGCGTGACCGCTCAGGAGGATGAGGGCCTTGTGTCCCAGCATGGGGCTATCTGCCCTCGAGCTTTTCTGCCATGGAGGCCACCACCCAAAGGGCAGAAAACCCTGGATCTTTATCTGCTGTGGAACCCAGTTAATGGAGGGCACATGGCCGGACACAGAGGGCAAGTGAGGAGAGACAGAGAGCCCCTAGACCACCGTCTTCCTCTCGAAGGAACTCAATCCAGCCTCCAAGTTACTCTAGACTCTGCTCCATCGCTCTCCTCAGAACACCGAGGTCTGGAAGCGGCCCCTGCACCGGTCCTCCCCATGCTCCTCCCCATTGTCAGAGGTACCTGGTGAGGGTGGGTAGCATTTAGGCCAGCAGCAAACACTACTGGATAAGCCAGGTCAGCTGATCCAACGCCCAGGGCAGCAGGCTGATAGGAAAGGCGAGAGCTTGAGAGCTAAGCAGGAGAGAAACAGGGAGAAGAGAGGAGGAGGACAAGACAGGCCGTCCCACCATGTGGCCTGCGGTCACCACACCTCATCCCCACGGCCCGGGTCTGGTGAGCGGGCTAGGACAGGCAGGAAGGCTACTAACGCTTTAGTTAAGGAAACTCAGAGAGCCTCCAATAGCCGCATGGGAGGTGTACATGCTCATCTTGCTTCCTCCCCATCCTTGGGGTCCCTCTGAAACAGAAGGCCCGCTTCCTGAATCACCCCGTCACCCCTGCCACAGGAGACGTCCTATTCCTATTGTAAGAATGGAGAAGACCAGTCCTCGACCAATTTCTTGAAAATAGGATATAAACACCGCATGTATTTTTCACATGAATTGGAGAAGCTCCCCCACCCAACCCCCCACAACTCCCATTCCGGGCTCGGGTGCTGAGACCGTGTCCTGCTAAAACCCAGCACCAGTCCCAGAGCACTGAACGTGATTCACAACACTTAAAGAAGAGATCATCCAACTGCAGTCCCTCCGCCCATCACAGACTCACTTGGTGGGGAAAGGCCAGGCCTGCCATGGGGACCCGCAAGGTGTCCGTCACCACAGGAGTAGGGGTCTGAAAATGTGCCTTTGTGACAGTAAACACACACTGGGCACAGATACACACGGAGACAGGAAAAGGGAGAGAGGGAAAAAGAGAAGAGAAGAACTTGAGAAGGCGTGGCACGGACTCTGCAGGGGCAGCAGCAAGGAGGCGGGAGAGGAGTCCTGCTGTGCTCGGTCAGGCAGGAGCTGTGTGCCAGAGGGCACTATGGTGGGGTATGGTCTGGGCCAGTGCTGTTTTGTCCAGAGTGCTCATTTGTGTGCCCATCTCTGAGGGGCAGGCAGAAACCCAAGCTAAGTCAAGCTGACAAGACTTAGTCAAAGAAAGAAAACAGAGCCGGGCATCGTCTGTCTTCGGTCAAGCAAAGGGTGGCAGCTAAGAGGGAAGATGCCAATAAAATGGGTGACTGAGAGCAGACATGAGGGTACCGAGGACACCATGTTAGAGGGAACCCTCTCTCTGAGCCTCAGAATCTTCAGGGACAGGTTTAAAGGGCTAGCATTTAGGGTCAGATTTTTTAAAATAGCCACACTTCCTGGCACCGTCCATGCGGAGAAGAAGGCCGGGTACGTGCGTGTGTGTGCTCAGACTGCCCGGTGGCGTGGGGCAGCGAGAGTAACAGCTGGAGCACTGTGAGGACTCTCAGAGCTTTATGCTCAAAATGGGCAGGACGATGGTTTCCGTTCATGCTGCTCCATCTTTGATTTCACCAACGTGCCAGTTAACAATGCTTAGACGTGGAGCAAAGTCCTTGGATCACGAGGGCAGATTCAAAGTCACACTGCTTCTCGACTCACCTCTGTGTCCAAAAGACCCAGTGGCCCAAGGGCTCTGAGGTTGCTGGCAAAACAAACATCGCCACATTACCATATAGCTACTGGACTCTGTCTCTGAGCCAAAGCTCAAAGGGAAGCTGTTGAATGGAGGAATTAGACCAGTCCCTCAGTCACACTAAGAAGGGGCATTTCAGTGTAACAGATTTGAAGCCCTCTGGCTGTTAGAAAGCGGATCGGCTTGCAGGCTGAGATGCTCGGGTGGGGCTGCACACCCCGCCAGTCCTGTGAACTTCGTGGTTTCCTGGTGCAAATAAAAGGTTCAAAGTACGCTGTGGTGTCTTAGTGAGCAACTCCATTGTGAAAAAGCTGGAAATACTGCAAGAACGACCACAACGTGACACTGAGACACAAAGCGAGCACCTGCTGTTTGGAAACTGGTGATGATGGGCTTGCTTAACCTAAGGTTGCCGCAAACCTCCATTTACGAAGAAGCAAGCATGTGCTCCGAAGTGAAGCGTGCTAAGAGGAGGGGTGCGGGCACTTCCGGATGGGTTAGGACCTCTGAGGGGGCACTTCTCACTCACTGCTGGTGGACAACACTGGTAAAATCATGGCCAAGACACACTGGCAACGAACAGCATGGGAAACATCTGTTCTCCTCATACAGGCAAACCCCAGCTATACACCAGACCGTTTCTTCCAGGTCTGCGTCAGTGACGGCCCTTTAAACTAGTGTTCCTTTCCACTTTCCCACTTACTTTAGGGTTACACAGCCACTGGGTCCTTCTATCGGAGAGAAAGACAAAGAAGACAAAGAGAGAGTGAGCGAGCTTTAAGGACCAGCCTCTTCAGCCCTCACCCCTCCCCAGTCATAATGTTCAGTTACTAGAACCTATCCTTTGCAGATGAAAACTTTAATAAACATGAAGCTGGGCCTCTCCACCTTTGGGGAAACCCTCCCACTATTGTGCCCTTCAGCCTGGTGCTGCTCTTGGCCAGGCGCGCACAGGGAGAAGCCCCGCTCAGAGCAGGGCAGCCTTGGCACCTGCTGTCACAGACCTGCCCTGGAATTCAGCAGACACCTGATTTCTGCTTTTCAGTAACACCAAACTCACAAAAGCACTGCCACTGAGTCAACTGTGACTGACAGCCACCCAACAGGACAGGGAAGAACTGCCCTGCGAGTGTCCAAGACGGTCACTCTTGATGGGAGTAAAAGAGCTTCAGCTTTCTCCTGAGGAGCAGCTGCTGGTTTGGAACTGCTGGCCTGCAGTTAGTAGGCCAGTGCGTAACGACTACACCACCAGGATTCCACAGGACCCATCATCTTAGTCTCATGTCTTCTAAACGGGAAAAACATTCTTCTTTACATAAAATTAAAAGAGCACCAAGTGCAGAGTTCATCTGTTGGGTCTCCAGAATACAAGGATGAGGGGATGCTAGTTTAAAGGGCCGCTGACCTGAGGGTGGCCAGAAGAAACGGTCTGGTGTGAAAGTCCTGGGGTGAAGACAGGCACACGCAGCAGGGACTGAGTGGCAAGGAGGTAGAAGATGGAGGACAAGGGCACAGAAGGGCAGAAAGGTGGCCCCCAAGGTCAGCTGCCAGCAGTGACTGGTGGGTTAAGCTGTGTCAGCATGGGGACCGTTTCACCACAGACCCTGCTGCCTAGGACGAGGAGCCTGGGCCCCAGAGCCCACGCATCACTGGAACTGCCTTTGATGCTGGACGTGCATCATGTGGGAAAGTTAATGACTCGCAAGGGTTGCATAGAGAGGCCAGACAGACAGAACCCTGTGTCAACTTATCAAGAAAACCTGCACTCTGGCGTTTTCCATCATTAGAAACCAAATTTCCCACTTCACCAGAGCAATGAACAAGGGTAAGCCAGAGTGCCTCCCTAGAAATAAGTGATGGATTTTCTAGATAATTTTAGGATGTTACCAAGAAAGTCAACGTTATGGTGGGTTCAGGAGGATTACAGCCTAGACACACCGCAATATTACCTGATGGCTATGAAGATTCTCTCACCCCACCCCCGCCCCCCATCACTAGAAGGTACTGGGATCCAAAGTCTGACACCATTTCCTAGGTCCTGCGTCTGGCACCACATAAGTCCTGCGGCCTGGGAAGCGGTTCCCCACCTGGGTTGGCGGGGAGGTGGAAAAGGAGGTGGTGCACACTTCCTGAGAGTCTTCCACGGAGGGGTGTGTCCCGCTGCCGTCCTCCCCAGCGGTCCTACAAGGCGGAGAAACAAAGTGCTTCATCGTGGTGGCAGCAGCTTCAGGAAAGGCTCACTGGGAAGTCAGGTCAAGAAGCAGCTGTAACCAGAGCAGTTTTCAGGCACTACAATATGAGAGGACTTGGGAAAAGTCTGTGCAGGGTTTAAGATAATCCATGCCAGAAAGAAAAGATGGAAAACCAAGGAATGAAAAAGATCTCCGTAGAGAGTTCATTGTAGCAAGAAAGGCATTTTGAAACATTTTCAGGAGAGCAACATCTAGAAGTCTGACCAAAGCTTTTTTTTTTTTAAAGGCCAAATATCTTACCTGAGCTATTATTTGAGAGAGAATTTTCTGGGCCAATGTTGGAGGTCAGACTAAGTCTCCAAGGAATTGTCAGGAAGAGCTACTCAGTGAAAGAAAAGTCTGCAGATTACAGACAGATGGATCCCACTTTATCCTACTGCTACACACCTACACCAACCTCCAGAGTTGTGGCTTCTGAGCTGGGAGCCCAGAGACAGTTTCTTCTGATGTACCCCTAACTGTACCACATGCAACTGAAAACCATTTAACCTGCCGAAGACCACTGCACAAGTAACTGCCACTCTGGTAGGCCCGGGTTACAGTGCTACTAACAATTCTAGTCACTGCCATCCGCAGCCCAGATGTCTGCCAACGGTCTGAGCTTTTCTGTGCCCGAGTCTTAGTACACCTATGGAGCATCAGCAAGAAGGGAAGCTAGCCCCTCCATCCCTCGCCAAGTGGTGTGTCCATTTTCTCTAACAGAGACGCCTCCCTGCAGTTTTAGAGCGCTTCTCTCATTCCTCACCTGTAATTGCAGGGGTGCATGGGCGAGGCGCTCGAGTAGGGACGGTCCACAAAGTGATCAATGATTATCCCCATGATAGGTGGAGTTCTCTCAAATTGCCTGTAATGCAACAAGCAGATTGCGGTATTTGTTAAGATGCTCTTCCAGAGCACTGAAGTCCTCAGAGGGCCCTTCATTGCATTCTACTGGCAAAATACTACCAGAGTCTTAATTACTTAATTACACTCCCAAATAGAAACTAAACTTCTATACTCTGGACAAACTGGTTCTGGGACTCTCAGATTTTCCAGCCTGGCAACTGTGCACTCTCTTGACGTCTGTCCTTCCAATACCACAATAAAGCTGAAGTGTCAGCTCAGGTTGGGTGCCGAAAGGAGGGGAGATGGGACTTAAACATCTTTGAAGGAGTTCTTTTGGAATCCAAGGTCCTTTCTTACCTGGTAGACATGAATGCCAGGTTAATTCTGTAAGCACAAGAAAGAGTGACGGTGCCCACAGGGGTTCCCACTGTACCAACACGAACTGTTTGGAAGCCTAGGTGAAGAGGTGAGTTATTAGCTTTATTCCAAAGAAAACTGGCACCAATCCCAGCCGACTTCCCCTGGGTCCTTCAGGCCAGCATCCAAACTGACAGCAGCTTCAACTTCTCTACCAGTGGTTGGTTGGTTTCCTTCCATTTATCCTGCACTGACCCACTAATGATGGGCGAAACAGCCCTCTATTTCTGGATGAAAAAGGTCTAACAGATGTTAGTCCTAACAGTGTGCGCAGGTCCAAGCCAATCCTACGCAGATGTCATGTGCTCAATGAGACAGAGCAAGGGATCTAGGCATTTATTACCTCAGCTCACGCACGCTGCCACCGTGCACCAAGTCCAGGAAAAGGCCAGGGAGGGCTTGCCACGGCTTTCTTTTTTGGTTATATTTCCAATTTTTCAAAATTGTTACAAATATTTAATATGCTGATTATAGAAAACTAGGAAAATATACAAGTACCTAAGGGGGAAGAAAGAACTGAGTTGCTGCACCATTGGAGGAAATTATTTGCTCATCTCTGGCAGCTCCTTAGACTCGTTTTTACAGTTTCCTTCCTTGCAGTATACACAGTAGGGTTACAAGTACATGTTATTACAGGTAGCCACCACGAAGTTGAGTGAGCTCATACCACCATATATGTTTCAACCATCATACATACCTTCTCCTAAGCCATTCAGCTGAACTTCCCCAAAATATATTCTGTAGGGAGGAAGGAAAAGAATTACACAAAACTTTTCTAGTGGCTGCTACAGGCAGACCAGCAGGCGACAACCCAACAGCCCCAACAAACCCTTCTTTCATGCACGAGCACCTCTCCCGATGGAGCAGTGATGGCTTGAACCAAGCTGCAGGATGAAGATGTGCACGGAGAAAACTGGTTAAAAGTGAAGAAAATGATTTGACTGTTCTAAAAATGTAAAAATAGCAAAACTCCTCTATGAATCCTCTTGGGAAGGACAGTCCTGATTGGCCACAAGTCTGAATTACGAAATACTTAAAATGTACTTTTGTCTTTTTCAAGTAATAGTGTTAAACATTACAGACCTACATGAGTTTATTCAATGCACAAGCTCCAATACAGTCAGCAGTAAGAGTGACCCCTTCAGCTGCTCCTTAGGACAAAGATGAGACTGTCGGCTCCCCTAACGATTTCAGGCCTCAGAAACCCTAGACAGGGTCACTACGAGTCAGAATCACCTCAGTGGCAATGGGTTTGGTTTCCCAAGATGACAGCAGCTAACCTGCTCAATACGCTCCCTAAGCGTCCGAAGTGATTCAATGGCAGTGAGCTTTTCCGTTTGTTTCAACAGGAACAAGAGTAGAACAAATGATCATATAGCTTTAAAAACAAACACAAAGCTAATCTTCGATGGTGTAAGTTTATACTGTTAATCTAATGACAGTATATACATAAAAAGTCAAATCTATCTTTAAGATTACCGCTCTATGGTTTTAAAGCCATAGTTCTTTGCATCCAAAAGCATTGCTTAACGGATTAAACAGTAATAGAGCAATACTATTTAACTTTAGCAGTGTAGGATGGCTATTCTAAAAGAAGCAAAGGGAACAGGGATTTAGCTTAGGTAAATGGCAGGTAAGAGTTACAAAGAACAACAGTCTAGTACTTTTCAAACGTACACTCAACCTTAAACCTGGGAAGACAGCAGAAAAGGCAAGCCTTTATTATGGACTTGGAAAAATAAACATGATTAGATTTGCTTGATCATTGCTAAGAAAGTTAACTAAAACTAATTCAGAACCATCAAGTCAATGCTGACTCACACTGAGTCAATTCTGACTGACAGCAACCCTATATAGCAACCCTATAGGACAGGGCAGAACTGTCCCTGTGGGTTTCTGAGACTGTAACAGGAGTAGAAAGCCTCACCTTTCTCCCAAGAAAGTTAAAGGACAATGTCAAGTATTGGACTGCTTCAACAGAATGAGGTCGGTCTCTCCCTCAGTGCTACAGTAACTATAAAAACTCAGCTCGACAGACAAAATTGCTCTAAACCCAATGGCTTATTAGTGAGTACAAAAGAAAAGAGTCATGGATGACTTGGGGACCCTCAGCTGCTATGAGCTGCTCTGCAGGAGAGTCTGTTTCTGTAAGGATTTCTAGTCTTGGAAACCTTATGGAATAGGGCTACTCTTGTCCTACAGGCCACTGTGCATCAGAATCAACTTGGTGCCAATGGAGTTGTTTTTGGTTTTAGTTTGGCCTTCATATTGTACTCTCTCTCTCACTTCCCATTACTGTAATCCATCCCTCCAGACCGTTGGACAATTCATCCTTCGGCCCCTCACCTACGTCTTGGACACCTCTTCTACCTTCCACCTGGAACAACAAATGCAGGTCCAATGCCAGTTCTGTCTACCAAGCCTATACTGTTTGTCAACAACTACAATGAATATATCCTCTCTTTCTGTTCTCCCAGAACCCTTTTCCTGATACTGCTATGCAGATTTTAAATTCTGATATCATTATAAACATGTGTGTATCCAGCTGTGCTTACACCACTAAAAAAGCACGCAATGAATGAATGTTCAGGTGAAATACTCAGGAAAACCCTTAGAAAAGTGCTAACCAGTTTTTTATAATGAAATGCTTAAATAGAATTCAGACAGAAAACAAAATTTTAAATTAACCTGAAATATAGAAGGCTGTGGACTCTTCAAAAGATAGCCTGGCTTTGTGTCTGTCTGTCTGAAATCTTAAGCTCCTTTCCTCTTTGTGATGTTATGCAAGTAAGACCTCAAATTCCATTCCACTGGAGTCACGACCATGCCCAGGCCAAAGGACAACGAACTTGGTGCCTAGCAAAGCTGAGGACTGCCAGGGCAGAGGCTCACAAAGGAGGCTGGATAGATGATCATCTCAAAGCGATAGCATCAACGATCCAAACCACCACCTGTCCAGAACATAATTATAGACGGCTTGAATGCCAGCCAGGTGACGTGCAGAGAGGTGAGGCTTTTGAGTAATAAATCAAGAAGATGAGCATCTGGGCTGGTTACCTGTATAGGATGACATATTCATGCCCTTGTTTCCTGGAGAGTCTATAGGCTGGTGTTACCCTCGTTATAGCAAGGAGAGACTTCAGCAGCAAAGACAGTCGGTTGTATACCGTGTAGGAAACTTTGATCTCCTTATCACACCTGAGGAGCACACAGACGTGATTCGCATCCTCTATCAAAACGAATGTAAAGCAAAGAAATGCAATCGCTCTAGCAGTGTCACTAAGTTCTGTCTAATGACTATGACTGAACTTACTCTGACAGCATTATCCTTGAATTCTGATGCAACAACATCAGCTTTATAGCTCAAATACACAATTCACAGAGTATTACAGTCAAGAGATAGGTGCAAATTATGTGCTGAAATGACATAATACTGAATTTATTATTAAACATTTTCAGAACAGAGGTATAATTAGAATTCCTTGTCAGTTTATCAAGACTGTTGAGAAAACCAAAGATTTTCTTTTTCATGAACTAGATATGAACAGAAGAACACGAAAAGATCTCCAATATATATACACATAGATATACTTTGCTTTGAAGTAGTTATCATTCTAAGAAATAAAACCACACACTCAAAACCAGTAATTCAATACTGCAATTATATATACTGAAGGTACAAACCTAATTTCCATGTACCATCTTATGAGACAGCTGGAGAAACATCTTTTATTTTTTGTAATATAATTTTAGATTATAACCTGGCAATTGCTTTCTATTTAAGAAAGAAAAATAACTCCCACATCATACATAATTATCACTATGATTTTTCTTTTGATATGTTTTTTCCTTGATTTTTTCCCTCTTGATCTTCCCATACACTCTTCTTGAAAACTACAGCTTTTGACAGGTAGTAAGCTAATGAATGGGCCTTCAGTGAAGACAATGGAGGGGGGAAATAGTATGCATTCCCAATCCCTGTGTGACACTCTTGAAAAAGCAGCACTGAGTGGAAATCTTACTGGACATCTGCCACCCAGAAAATAGACAAAACAGAGCAGTCATGTCACACAGTTCACGAGAGATTTAATCAGAGAACTATCTGTACTCTGGGAACAAACAAATCCTTTTCAGCTTTCTCTGGTGTTCTCCCTATGGCGCCTGCGGCTCCCTGGGATGGGCTCCTTCTGAAGGTCATAGCTGTGCCTAGGCTGGAAGCCAGGCATGAAGCCAGTTGTAGTCACGGCTTGTGGTCAGAAAGTCCTTGATACCCTGCTTTGCACATGACATCATCTGCTTTATCCCCTCAGCTACCAACACCAAGGACCCAAAGAGAGGAACACTTACTTTTCATTCATTTCAAGACACCAAATCTCCAATTCCATGGAATCTCCCTAGAAATGGGATAATCGAAAAACATGGAAGTTTTTTTGGTTTTCCTAAATTTCATTTATTCATTATTTTAAAGTTTCATTTATTTTTATCATTGTTGATTAACATACACATTCAGCAATCAAATAAAATAGCAACCCAACCGTTTCTACGATCATACAATTCGGTGACACTGACTACATCTTTCGAGTTGTGCAATCACTCTCTTCCTCCTTTGCTGATCGCTCCACGCACTTACACTCACTGCCCCTAGGGCTCCTAGTTAATCTTTCGAGCATCAAGTTGATGCCACCTGGATAACTTTTTTGTTTAATTTTTTTCTTGATAATTTTATGACGCTATTTTTTACTAATTAAGTTAAACTGCGACTGGGTTTTAAGATGACTTCACGTGATATGTTTGGTTTAAAGATTAACTCAGAGTAATGGTTTCTGGGGTTTATCCACCCTCCCTGGCTTCAGAATGTCTGAAGCTCATGAGGATTTGACATTCTGTTCTGCAGTTTCCCCCTTTCAATCAGGATTTTTATATGGACTCTTTGATCTAAATCTTCAATAATGGAAGCTAGGCACCATCTAGTTCTGGCCTCATGGCACAGGTGACAGCTGTTGCTTGTAGACAATTAGTTCATATCTGCCTCCTATTCCTGACTCCTTCTTCCTCTGTTGCTCCTGGTGAACAGAAATCAATTGTATTGTGAATGACTGCTTAAAAGCTTTTAAAACTTCAGTCATGACACAACAATCTAGGAGGTAAAACAAAAGCATATTATGTGGCCAATTAAATGGGATGGCCCATGAAACTATTACTCTAAGCTTTCAAATCAAAAAATAAAACTTCTTCCAAACCAAGAAATCAAATGAGGTGTTTTGTTTAGTTGTACATAAGCAGCCTCCGCAGCTATGCTCCTGCTTCTATTATTATTGTAAATATGTCTGTCATACTTTTGCCAATTCAACTCCTACAGCAATTACAATCATCAGCTATTTAACTCGACCCTACAATTTTTCCCTCTCCAGTTAACTCCTTCCAGCCCCTGTAGCCACTAAAAAACCTTGGTCTCTATATATCTGTCTTATCTTTTTATATAATTGAGGTCATACAATATTTTCCCTTTTGTGATTAGCTTATTGCACTCAGCACAGTATCGTCAAGCCCCATCCATACTGCAGCATGTATCGAGACATCATTTCTCCGACTGACTGAGCAGTCTTCCACTGCGTGTATGGACCATATTTTATGGTCTGTTCATCTGCTGATGGGTATTTAGGTTGTGATACACACTGACGGACAAGTCTCCTTTTGAGTCTCTGCTTTCCAGAAATGTATTGCTAGGTCATAGGGTTGCTCTATTTTCAGTTTAGTGGGTTTGTTGGTGTTTTTTTTAAGGAATACCACAGTATTTTCTACAGGAAAGCCCCATCTTACTTTTTCTCACCACAAAGAGACATGGGTTCCAATTTCCTCTAAAGCTCACCGTCATTTGTCAGTTGTTTTACTTTTTAAATCTTGGCCAGGCTGCTGGGAGTCAAACGGCCTCTCACTGTGGCTTTGAGATGCATCTCTCCCTTCAATGGCCAGTGACTGCGAGCACGCCCTTCTCCAGTGAGATGTCCACTCAAGTCCTTTGCCCATGTGATCGCATTACTTGTCTCTGTTACGTTTTATACATATTTTGAAATATGTGCTTTCCAAAAATATTCCCCTGATGATAACGGGTTTTTATACTTTTTTTGATAAAGTATTTTGATAAACAAAAGGTTCTAATTTCTACAAGGTTCCATTTGTCTATTTTTTGTCTTTTGCCATTTGTACTTTTGTTATTAGATAATCCACTGTTGAAAAGGCCTGGCAGCAATGCCCAAGCATGTTCTTCTAATAATTTTATAGTTTTAGCTTGTACATTTAGATTTTAATTCCAGTTTGAATTTTTGTGTGTAAGGATTCAGTTTGATCAAATGCAATATTCCCAACCCCATATTGTCAGGCAGAAACTGGCGGGCGGAGAGAGCTGGTGTCAGAACCCTGCTTCCCTTTGGTGGCCTTCAGACCCAGGTGCAGAAGACTAACCCTAACAGATAACTTTGAACGCTGTTGCTTAGCTTCAGACCTGCAGACAACAAAGTTGCAGTGGAAAATTCCCCAGCTACTCCCTCCCTCCAGACCCTGGCTATAAAACTGTCCACCTCTCGCCTGGACAGTGTGACTTCGAGAGGCCCCAACTGGGGGGGCCCGTGAACCTCACCCGGGAGCTCAGGATGCTCCCAACCCTTTCTCTGCTCTCCCTTCCCCCTCCTGGGAGCGCTGAAATAAACCCTTGAAACTGTTTTCGATCTTTTATTTCTTTCTTGCCGTCACCACATCAACCTCATTACAAATTATTAAAAAGACTTTTTAATGCTTCTTCAAAAACCAGTTGGCCATAGATTTGTGGGTTTATCTCTGGACTAAAGTGTGTTCCATTGGTCTATTTGACTGTGGTGATACCAATATAACCTATTTTGATTATTGTAGCTATATTTATGTTTTCATATCAGGAAGTATGAGTCCTGGTTTGTTGGTTTGTTTGTTTCCCCCTTCTCTTAAATATTTGGGACCTTTTGCATTTACAAAGAAAGTTAAGGAATGATTTTTCTCTCTCGGTTGAAAATTTATTGGAATTGTGTTGAATCTATAGATCACTTTGGGTAGTATCACTAACATCTTAACAATATTAAGTCTCCCAATCCATGAAAAATGGAACATTCTTTCCACTTATTTAAATCTTCCTTAACTAGTCTCTTGCAGCAATTTTTAATGGTTTTTATTGTATAAATTCCTAATATCTCAGGTTAAATTGACTCTTAGAAATTTTATTCTTTTAGGTGCTATAAGAAATGAAATTGTTTTCCTATCAGTATTTCTCATTGGTGGCATATAGAAGCCCAGCTGATTTGTTTATTGACCTTGAACACCCTGCATTTCCCCTAAATTATTGTTAGTCCTAAAAGTTTAAAAACAATTAAAAACAACAACAACAACAAAAACAAAGCAGAAAAACAAACAAACATCGGTTTTGTTAATTTTTGTATTATTTTTTTCCTTATTACAAAGAACTATAATTACTATATTATGGAAAAGAAAAAAACTTACTATATTATGGAAAAGTATAGATAAGCAAAAAGGGAAAATGGATATAATTATAATTCAACTAGCCATTTTTCTAAAGAAATAGCAAGCACGTCACATTATTCATACTATTTTTAGCACTTGCTGTTTTCTTTTAGAAATACAATGTGCCATTTTCCTTATAATAATAGAAAAGATAATTTTTGATATTTGTATAACACTCTACCATGCGAACCTATAATTTATCCAACCATTCTCCCATTCATGGATATATAAATTATTTCTTATTTTTTCACTACTACAAACAATATCATGATAAACGGCTTGAGGTTAAACTTTTTACTTATCTTGAATGAGTTCTTAAGGCACACTTCCAGAATGAGGACTGTTACATCAAAAGCACAACTGCTTTTAAGACTGGTGCTTTTAAATGATGGGCGAGCCTGGCAGAGCTTTTCCTCCAGCACAACAGGGGCTTTTATCAGAGATCCTCAGTTAAAGCATACCCTAACACCTTCCTTATATAAAAATCCTCATACCTGCCTGATATCCTGAGCCAAACTGTCCACCTCTCTAAACAGACTAATTTAGTGTAATGGGTGTAAGAGATTAACGCTTAGAATCCCTCAACTCAGTAAGACAGTCAGTGTCATTTCTTGAGAAGCTTAGTCACCTGTTGAACACTAAATGAACACATTTAGTCTGGGTTCATCTGTGGGGAACTGACTTTTACTTCCTCCGCATCAAATTTCTTTATTTTTCCACATCAAATTTAAAGTTATCTTGAATATATATCCTCTCATCAAGCCATCAGCTATAAATGACAGGATGAATTTTGAATTCCATCCTACCTTCCCTGAAAACCAAGAGATGGCCAGTATCCAAAGCAAAGTATAAGGCCTCTATGGGACAATTAAGAACTGTTTATAATTAGATTTCCTAGGAAATGATGCCTGGGAGAAGAAAGAATTCTATAAGGATTTCCTTTGGACTCCATGGTTACACTAAGACAATAACCCATGGAAGTTATTGTAGTTATAGTAACTGTAGTTAAATAAAGAATGAAAAGTTCATAGCATCTTTGCTAAGATCCCCATGGAATTAAGTAATTAAGAATTAAGATCATTCTTGACAGACTGCTACATTTCATCCCAGGCACTACAGGTACACCTGTGTTAGCACTGAAGCCAAAGAGAGGGTTCTTTCTTACTTTTTTTGGAGAGGATTCTTTCAAATAGCATTTGAGGAACTAGAAAGAGAATTAAAATGTGGTATAGCTGCTGACCTCAGGAAAAACACTGACGTGTTGAGACTCTGTTATGACAGATCACGTATGCACTTTACAAATGAGGAGCAAAAGAAAAAATATTATAGCCCTGGAAGATGGCACATGTGTCATTTAGATGGCATTGGTAGGGGTGGAGTTCAGATACTTGGCCATTATTACTCATCTAGTATCTAAACTTGCTTTTTACTAGACCATGCATCTTCCGAGTAAAACAGCAAGAAAGAGAACAAAAATAAAAATATCTGCCTCAATCCTAATGTGCCAGGTGAGCAAAAAGAAAATACATGAAAAAAATCACAATACAGCAAGCTATATACTCTATAAACATAACTATAAAGCAAACACACGAAGTCTAAGCAGAATACATGAGCTCTCCCATGGTACAGGGAGATTTTCTGAGCAGAACAAAGTAGTGTGAAGGTAAGGGGAATGTGCCAATTTCATGAAGATGAAGTAATAATTACCAAAAAACATGGCCTCTTCAGAGAGCAATGAGAAGTTAGAGGGGGAAGGTGCAGGAATAAGACCAAGAAGTCTGGAGATCCCCTTGCAGAGGGGTCTCGGGGAGGAGATGAGCCAGTCAGGGCGATGTAACAACGATGAAAAATACAACTTTCCTCTAGTTCCTAAATGCTTCCTCCCCCCACTATCATCCCAATTCAACCTTACAAATCCTGCTAGACCAGAGGATGCATACTGGTACAGATAGGAACTGAAAATCCAGGGAATCCAGGGCGGATGAGCCCTACAGGACCAGTGGTGTTAGTGGGGAAACAGGGAGGGTGGAGGGAAAGTGGGTAGAAAGGAGGGAACCAATTACAAGGGACATATGTGACCTCCTCCCTGGGGGACGGACAACAGAAAAGGGGGTGAGGGGAGACGTCGGACAGGGCAAGATATGACAAAATAACAATTTATAAACTATCAAGGGCTCATGAGGGAGGGGGAAGCGGGGAGGGAGGGGGAAAATGAGGACCTAAGGCCGGGGGGTTTAAGTGGAGAGAAAATGTTTTGAGAATGAAGTACAAATGCGCTTTACACAATTGATGTGTGTATGGATTGTGATAAGAGTTGTATGAGCCCCCAATAAAATGTTAAAAAAAAAAAAAAAAAGACCAAGAAGTGAGTTGGGACCAAAGTGGGAACAGCCCCGAATGCCAAGTGAAGACACCATTGTAGTCCTACCCTTACCTCAGAAGTCTTGAGTGAAATCTCCACACACATAGACCTCCCCACAGCAGGCAGCTGCCCTGCCAGTGCCTTCTTTGCTTCATGTGTAACCTCTGGGATGTCCTTGATGGCTAAATTGAACTAGAAAACAAAGAGGCCTTTTGTAGCCTATGGCGATAAAGTAAGGTTTCCATGGGGCAGTGCAGCTACTGCTTTGATTAAGGAGGACACTCATTCACCTCTCCAGTCCTGTAGGAGATAACCTGCATCAAAGGCCCGAATCTCAGCCTGAGAAAGATAATTACCTGTGATAAAGATTAGTTAACAAAATACTATTTTTGTCTTCCAAGGACTTAGCTTTTCACCTCTAACAGCAGGAAGCCAAGAACCAAAATAAATCCAGGGCAAACACTAGATAAAGGACATACTTTCTAAGTGAATGAATCAAATAGTTTGGTATTTTAATATCATGATTTAGTAATACTATCAACAGTATTCTGTATTGTTGAACACAAAGCCATTTCCGTGGCAAACACCACAGCATACCGCCCCCTTAACAAAGAACAAGTTTGTACCCAATCTGAACCCGTTGGAGACGAAGATGAACGAGTGCAAATCTTCTCACCAAGTCGAGACTGGACAATCACTTGGACAGTCTGAAAACAAACAAACAAATACAGATGAAAAAAATGTCTTCAGAACACAGATTTGGCTCCTGAGCCAATGCAGGCTTAAAAAGATGCCCATTCATCCTAACTATACCCCAGGAAGGGACAGATTTTAAAACATTCAAGAACTAATGGGAAAAGACAAAACACCGTGCCAAAACCAAAAAACTGAGAAACCTGTAAATAGTCCTGGGGGCACAGTGCCAACCAATCAGAGTAATTATAGTCCGAGGCTGGGAAGCCGCGTGCAATCCTCACAAGGCAGAAGGGAAGCTGCACATGGTGGTCATGCTTCTCATAAAGAAAGAAGTCCAACTGTGGGTTTGAATATTCACGCCACAACTTACATAATCATAGTATATTTAAAAGAAGCACCCAATTATTCATATGGCTTGGCTCATATGGCAAAAAGCTCTTAAAGACTTTCAAAACCTGAATTTGTATTCTATGGATGGATCATTTCAGCATGGTTAAGAAAGAGTGATCGAGGTGATAATGATTTTATTTTCGATTTGAGGAAGTTTAATTCCTAATGGATTCAAAATTCAATTTACTAGGAGGGAAACAATATATGAGAGGTTGGCATTTCAGGCTAAGTTGAACTTTGGAAAATATGCCCCAAAGACTGCCATTCTGAATGACAATTTTTGCTCCAATCCTAAGTCTGTGGAACAGACTGTGCCAATAACCTGGCATAATGGTCTGACATTTCTGCAAACAGCCTTGCAGGAAAAAAAAATTTTTTTTTAACTAGCTGTGGAAATGGGAAGCTGCTTTTTAGTTACACCCCCAGTACCGCCCCCAACCTTCACAGTTTGGCTTACAACCCACAGAAGTATCCCTTAAAATGGGCAAGCTGCAAGCTGTCATGCTTCATTTCCAACGCGGGCTCAAGAGGGAGAAGCAAGGACGTGATTCTAAGAGTTCTGGGCTCCAGAGAATGGACATATTACCTTGAGGGCAAAAAACTTAATGAACTTGTCCAGGTCCTTCCTGTCCTGGGAATTGAGATCAGTTTCCATTTCCTATAATAATCTAAAACAGACAGAAAAGGGAGGGAAAAAGATGAAAAGTGGCCAATTACGTATAAAACAGGATTGACCCATTCAAGCATATGGAGACGGTATTCTCTATTAGTTGTGTGAATTGTTGAGTGGGAGTGGGGGAAAAAATTGTTGTCCCTTTAACTCAAGATGCCAGAAAGAATTATCAAGATGTGTAAATTATCTTTTGAGGAAAGTAAATTCCACACAGAGAGCTGTATTTAGGAACCTAAAAAATGGATATGGGTACGACAATTTACCTGAATTTAAAACTCTGAGCTTTATAAAGAACTGGGCCATAAACCCTTTAGGTTGAAACAGGGTGAGATGGGCTTTGGAGTGAGGAAGAAAGGATTTACGGAGAGAAGATCATGAACAAAGAGGTATAAGCAAAAGGGAACAAAACCCAATACCCTAGCTCCCCACAGGGATGGAGAAGCAGTAAGGCTGGTTGGGGCAGATCCAAGGGTCTTAAATGCAATGTTAGAGCCTGACCTACATCTTGCTAGTCACCGTCAACTCCCATTTGTGAAAGCCTCATCCAGGCTTTGGAAAAGTGGCCCAGTCTGAGTGGAAGTATCATCTGAATGGTGCTTTAAAAAGACAGTTTTGCTGGCATAATATAAAACATTTTTGAGTATGAAAAAGCAAGAAAATCATTTAGGTCCTTGACAATAATTCAGGTTTGTAGTTAAGGCTAAAACTCTAGCACAAGCCTGATTTGGAAATAGTGTGAATGGGAGACATTTTAAAGAAAGAGCTGGCAAGATTTAAGGACTTACTACACAAAAGGAACAAAAGAGAGGTAGGATTTTAAACTTGGGGACCAGAGAAGCAAGTCTGACAGGGTTTCAGGTTGATTAAAAACCAGGGATGCCAGGGACTTCCAATTTTAAGGAAAGGCAGAAATGAAAGGGACAGATTGGAAAAGTTTAGGTCTTTAAGAAAATACTGTTCTCTATTAAGGTATAATTTACATGTAAAATGTATAAATCCAAGATATATAGCTCAATATATTTCAGTATATATGTATATATTAAAAATAAAAATGCATATGTATAATTAAAGGGAAAACTCCATTCTCTTTTCATTCCATCTGCCCACCATCTTTCTGAAGCCCTCTTCTGTGTGTGGTGTCCCTAAAACAATGATTCAAGAAACATTCAAGAAAGTTTATTCTAATCTCTGTTAAAGAGCCGAGGCAGCACTTTAGCTTCCAAATTGGGCTGCTGGCCACTAGATCCGCAATTTGGGTCCTCCAGCCGCCCGAGGGAGAAAGATGAGGCAGTTGGCTCCAGTAATGGTCTATTTAATGGTCCTAGAAATCCGAGGGGACAGTTCTGCTCTCCTATGGGGTTGCTATGAGTCAGAATTGATTTGGTCATCACTATGTATTAGTTTTGTCTGTTTTCAAATTTCTTATAAGTGAATTAATACAGCATGGACTCTTTTGTGTAGCTTTACGTATTTACCATTAACTTGTCTATGGTGTTCATCTAGATTCCTGCATGTATCAGTTTACTCTTTTTCACTGCTAAGTATTATCTATTTTATGAGTAACCTACTATTTCTAAAATCAGTTCCACAGTTGCTAAGCATCCCAGTTGTGTCTTGCTTTAGTCGTGGCATTCTTATGGCTCTCATGTGAGAAACATGAGTCCCCGTGCTACCCACAGTGAAGCCAGGAATAAAGACGCTGCGTCACAGAATGTACGTTTGTAGCTTTAATACATCTGCCAACATTTTTCCCAGCGTATCGGGACCAACTTAAATGCCCACCAGCAGTGAGTGTCCCAGCTGCTTCACATCTGTGACATCACTTACCACCACTAGTTCTTCCACTGCAGCTATTCTGGGAGGACTGTGGTGGTATCTTCTGCAATATGCATTTCTCTTCTTCATATGCTTACTATTCGAGTAAACTTTCTTTTTTGAGAATTACTAGTTCAAGTCTTGCTAATTTTAAAATCAAGCTTTTCATTCTTATTGAACTGTAATTTTTTTTATTCCTCCGTCTTTTATTTACTTTATTTCCAGCAGTTTTATTTGCAAGTAGTTTACATGTCATATAACTTAATCATTTAATTGTACAATCACCCCCACATTTTAGAACATCCCCCCTTCCCCACGGTCACATGGCCTTTAAGATAATTCATGCGATCACAATCCATTCTAGTACTCCCTCCCCTGAGCTATAATTATCTGATGCTATTAGGTGCTGTTGAGCCAGTTTGGACTAAGCCAGGTCCTCTTTTCTATGCTGGGTCAGTCTGGAATTCCGCTTTGCTGATACCTGTCCATCATGGGTGACCCTGATGGTATCTCAAATACTGATGGTGTTTCCAGCATCACAGCAATAAGCATGCCATCACAGTTTGACAAACTGAGAGGTGAAAGTCTTATATACTAAGTATATGTGTGTGTGTGGGGGGAGGGCTTTAAAAAGTTTGTGGGAAATTTTCATTTTTTTCTCTCAATAGTTTTATTAGGGGCTCATACAACTCTTATCACAATCCATACATACATCAATTGTGTAAAGCACATTTGTACATTCATTGCCCTCATCATTCTCAAAACATTTCCTCTCCACGTAAGCCTCGGCATTAGGTCCTCATTTTCCCTCTCCCTCCCCGCTCCCCCTCCCTCATGAACCCTTGATAATTTATAAATTATTTAGTCATATCTTGCCCTATCCGACGTCTGCCTTCACCCACTTTTCTGTTGTCGATCCCCCAGGGAGGAGGTCACATATAGTTCCTTATAATCGGTTCCCTTTTTCCAACCCATTCTCCCTCTACCCTCCCAGTATCGCCACTCACACCACTGGTCCTGAAGGGATCATCCACGCTGGATTCCGTGTTTCCAGTTCTTATCTGTACCCGTGTACATCCTCTGGTCTAGCCAGACTTGCAAGGTAGAATTCGGATCATGATAGTGGGGGCGGGGAGGAAGCATTTAGGAACTAGAGGAAAGTTGTATTTTTCATCGTTGCTACATCGCTCCCTGACTGTCTCGTCTCCTCCCCGAGACCCCTCTGCAATGGGTTCTCCAGTGGCCTACTAATGGGCTTTGGGTCTCCACTCCGCACTCCCCACATCATTCACTATGGTAAGAATTTTTGTGTTCTGATGATGCCTTATACCTGATCCCTTCAACACCTGGTGTGCTTCTTCCATGTGGGCTTTGTTGCTTCTAAGCTTGATGGCCGCTTGTTTACCTTCAAACCTTTAAGACCCCAGAGACTATACTTTTTGATAGCAGGGCACCATCAGCTTTCTTCACATTTGCTTATGCACCCATTTGTCTTCAGTGATCCCTTCGACACCTCGTGATCACACAGGCTCTGATATGTTCTTCCATGTGGGCTTTGTTGTTTCTGAGCTAGATGGCCGCTTGTTTACCTTCAAGCTTTTAAGACCCCGGACGCTATATCTTTTGATAGCTGGGCACCATCAGCTTTCTTCACCACTTTTGCTTGTTCACCAATTTTCATTATTTTTTCATTCAATTTTTCCGTGAACTCTTTGAAACATCCTCATACATATATTCCTCCCCTGCCCATAAGTACTTTGTTGGATATATAAACCACAAATATTTTCTCCTAGTTTACTGTTTCTTGAATCTTTTTAAAAAGACAACAGCTTTGTGCAGGTATAAATGACAAACTGAACACGCAACATACAATTGGCTCAGTTTTTATATACCCTACCCTATGAGCAGTGTGCTTATCACCACATATAGGACAGAGAACAAATCTACTCTCCAGAGTGAAGTTTCCTCTGCTCTTCCTTGGGAGCCTGGGTGTTTATCAGTTAAGTGCCAGGATACTAACCAAAAGGCTGGCAGTTCAAACCACCCAGAAACCTTATGACAAAAAGCCCAGGCAATCTGCTTCACCAAAAATTGTAGTCTAGAAAAGCCAATGGGGCAGACCTGCCCTGTCACACAGGGTCACCCTGGTGGGAACCAACTCTGGCACCTAATAGCACCAGGCCTTCCCCCAGCTCCCAAGGCCCTGAAATACTTCCATCCCTATAGATCCCTATCTGCACTGTCTGGATCTTTATGATGTAAATGGGGTCATGTGGTATACACCATTCTTTTGGTTGCCTTGATCAATATTTTGTTCATTTTATTGGGCATTTTTCTCATGCTTGCTTAACTCCTTTTCTGATTAGAGTTTTACATTTTCTTCTAGAAATACTGTTTTACCATTCATACTGACATTCATGATTCATCTCCAACTTTTTATGTATGGTGTGAGTTCAAAATCAAAGCTCTCTTTTTAAGCATTTAAGTTCCATTTATTTAATAGGTTGAATTAAAAACAAACAAACAGAAGATCTGTCAGAAATGTCAAGCTGGGAAATAAAGCAAAAGGCTTAGACTGAGGCTAAGACTAGATATAAAAACTGAATATTCTACCCCAAAGAACAAAAGTTAAAACTGTGGCTGTAAATGAATCACCAAGGAGGAGAATAGAACAAGCAAACAACAAAAGTGCCTTGGGAACTATATATGTACAAAAATAAATGCATGGAGACAAGAACCCACTAGAGAAACAGGAGGCAAAAATGGCTTTTGAGCATCTTTCTCCCCTGGAGAGGCTGGTGTGTTGGAATTGAATCACCTTTTGGCAGCAGCCTAACCCACAGCATTACCAGGGTTCCTTATAACAAACCTTCATGTACAAAAAAGTAACATGAGCTAAAAATATTAAAATGAAAGTAAAAAGATATTTTTTAGGGTCAAACAACTCAAGGCCTTGACAAGCGAACAATAGATTGGAGAGAAGACAAGTTAGGGCTCACATAGCACAAATGAGAGGTCAATAGATCAGAGAGAAGACAAGTCTCACTGATCTTCTCTCCCATTCACTGCTATCTGCATTGCCTTTCTTTGCCTCTGAAGTGGTGAACTATAGTCTCACTACCTGATCACCTACAGAAGCACACGTTAAATGTCACCATGACTTGGTACAATTTGTGCAAA